CAATTACCAAAAAGTTAAAAAATATTTTTTTTTTAATTTAGAAAAAATTACCATACCGAATAACATTCGTTTGACTTTGTTTTGCATAGAATTTGTCAACAAAAGTGAAAATTCTTTTTACAATGGATGATAGAATTTGTTGTCATTGCTAAAAAAAAAGGGTGGAAATTGTTTTCCTACCTAATTGGTGGGAAAACAAAATCAAGCAAATGTGTATCAAAAGATTGTACCTAGAGAAATGTTGGAAAAACAAAAGTCAGGCAAATTTGTGCTATCAAACACCCTTAATTGGCTAAAGTTGGAAAACATTTTCTTTTTCTACCCATTTTCTAGACTATCAAACAGGGCCTTAATTTCTTTTCTATGTTTGATTGTTCTGTTCAATGAAATTGCTTGTTGGCATAAGGCACAACATGATTTTTCTCTATTTCAATTACTTGAACTTGGGTTTATTTTGAGCTTTGAATTTTGTGAAGTAAATCTTAAAATTTGGGTCATGTTACTAAAGAATGGTTTATTTTGTACAGTTGTAACTTTTCAAATGACATTTCCACTTGCATTTTATGATGTTTTAAGAATGTTGTATATCTACTTCGTCTTTTTCGGTACAAAATGATTTTGATGTCATTTCAATATAAAAATTGCAATGATTAGCATAACGATATTGAAATGATTCATGAGACACAAAACGATATTAATATCGTTTTCGTATCAAATACCCACTGCTTTAATACTTTTCATAACTACTTATAGGTGTGAGCGCATCGACATGGACCACACACGATATTTACTACATTGATATTTTTCTAGTTTAAATCATAGCTACAACGACATTGATATCGTTTCGTTTATTACGTAAGGATATTGATATCGTTATGTAGTAAAACATGGAATAACATAACGATATTCATGTCGTTTCAATACAAATTTTACAAGATGGAGATCGTTCCAATTCAAATCATAACAAAAATGATATGGAAGTCATCTCTTTTAGTAGGTAACGAAATTTTTGTCGTTATATATCAAACCCACGAAATAATATAACAACATCCATATCATTTCAGTATAAATTTGACGAGATCGAGATCGTTCCAGTTCAAATCATAACTACAACGAAATTAAATTTGTTTCTTTTCATATAAAATGACAATAATATCATTTTGAATAAAAATGACAATTCGACCGTCCACTACCCCACGTCATGCCTTTGATATACATAGAACGATCGAAAGAGGTTATCAAGTGAGTTCAATCTCACTCAAAAGAAACTATGAGAACATATGTGTTCCCATAGTTGCCTAGCACTTTTGAACTATTCGACAGAAAGAAAGTGTCTCTATTCATTCTTTCTAAATCGTTCGAGCGGTATCAATCATTTGATGACCTCATTCGATCGTCCTACATATGCCGGAGGTATGTCGGATGGTCATGAACAGTCAAATTATCGTTTCATATAAACAAACACGATTTATATGTTGTTTTAGTTATGAATTAAGTTGAAACGACATCATTGTCGTCGAAAATTGTACTGAAATGATAGTAATAACGTTATGTATCAAACACATGAAATAACATAATGATATCCATATCGTTTTATTACAAATTTAATGAGTTTCGAATTGTTTCAATTCAAATCATAACTATAATGATATAGATATCGTTTTCTTTCATATAAAACGATTATATCGTTCTGGCTAAAAGCAACAATTTGACTGTCCACGGCAACCCGATATGCCTTAACATATATAGGACGATCGAAAGAGGTCATCAATATGGTTGATATCACTCAAATGTCCTAGAAAGAGTAAACGAATATATTTTCTTCCTATCAGAATAGTTCGAATGTGATATACAATTATTAGAACACAAATGGTCCTATAATTTCTTTTGACTGAAATCAAACCCACTTGGTGACCTATTTCGATCATCCTACATATGTCTATGCATGTCGGATGGTCATGAACTATCGAATCATCGTATTTAGCAGAAACGATATAATTATCGTTTTATATAAACTAACACGATTTAGATATCATTTTAGTTATGATTTAAATTGAAATGATATCAATGTCGTCAAAATTATACTGTAACAATAATGATATCGTTATGTATCAAACCTACAAAATATCATAATATTTACATCGTTTTAGTACAAATATGACTAGATTGAAATCGTTCCAATTTAAATCATAAATACAACGACATAAATATCGTTTTTTTTCATATAAAATGATTATTATATCATAAGTACAACGTCATATAAAATGATTATTATAACGCATATGTTGTTGAACGAAGGACGAAAGTTTGGGGATTGAAACATTAACTCAAAAAAAAAAAATTTTAGTTGGCATGTACGCCTCTGAGTTGTTTATCACCCGAGAGTTAGGTTTTGAACTGGAACGACTTCAATAACGTCAAATTTGTACTGGAACGAACTCAATATTATTTCGTTATTTCGGCATTTTGATCCAAAATGATATCATTGTCTTTACATTTGAAAAGAAAGGATATCACTGTCATTGTAAATATGTTTCGGACTGGAAGAATTTCAATGATGATAAATTTGTAATGGAACGAAGCAAATGTCATTATGTTAAATTGATACATGTGATACAAGTCATTTTATAGACCTTTTTAAATTTGAAGACTAAGTTGTAAGTTTCTAATAATTGATCAGGGACATGAAACAACTATAAGATCTTATGGAATTAATTAGATGAAATTAGAAGTCAAGCGATTAAAATTTCATGAAAAGATGACTCGATTGAGCAAAGTATGAAAGTTTGGGGACCAAAATGTCAATTTCCTAAACTATAGGTGGTGTGCACCACAACTTTCATCACGCGCCACACACTTTTTTGGCGTAACAACTTCAATTTCATTTTGTTAGTCCAGAACGACTTCAATATCGTTATGTGAACCGTAAAATTCTTGTACTGAATCGATATCAAAATCATTTTGTTTGTCAGGAACGATTTGAATTGTTATGTGAAGCAGTAAATTTTTCGTATTAAAACGATATATGTAACAACTACAACAACATTTGTGTCGTTCCAAAAAATAAATATAAAAGTTGTTTGTTTGTAGAAAAATAAAACGATATCTGTAAGGTAAAAACATAACCACAATTATATAAAATGACTTCAATGTCGTTCCAATAGCACAAAGTAATAACATCATAAAGAAGCAACAAATGATTTTTTTGTATTGTCAATATCAAGACATCGACAGTACAATGATTACAAAATGTAATAAATTATTTGTTGATTCAAATAAGTGCAAAATAATAAAGCTACATGTCACAACAATATTTCGTAGATTACGGATCGCTGCAAGCTATTTGGCCCGTGCAAGTGGAACCGATATATGACCATTATTCTTGCACTTACTACATTCACGAGATGTACAATTATTACCTTCAACAGTTCCAAGAAACCCAATGCAATTTGTATCATGCAAGAAGATGTTCAACTTTGTGCCTTTAATAATGCTAAAATCAGAATTTACTTCATTAACTGCATTAATAATAGCATGATTGGATGAGATTAATGTAAACAAAGTTTTAACATTCAACATCCTTAGACCATC